TTCCCAGACGATCCGCAATATGTCTAAAAACAAAAGAAAACGTGTTTACTTTCTGCACTATGAAGTCTTGGAAGAAAAGATGGACGAGGGCCGAAGCCCACTTCAGTATATAAGCCACAATTCGACAGTACTGCCGGAAAGTTGTTGCTGGAATTTAACATAGCCCAAAGTCGCCAAGTCCTAAACAGTAGATTGAAGCTTCCAGGTCAACTTTGGAAGTGCTGAGATGGCGAGATGTGAAAGTGTAGGAGAAAGCAGTAATGTAAGTTGAAGGTCAGAGTGAGCTAAGACGTTTCGGTCCATTAAGCCATAGACGTCTTAACTCAATACTGCGATTCCTAAATTTTATTAGCTGCCAGCACTATATGGCCGATCATCACTGCCATATAGAACTCTCTGAATGAGTGTTTTCTTCCACTTAAAATTTTCGCTGAACTAAAGCCACAAGAAGGAGGGCTAGTCACGTAGCGAAAATGAATGATAACAAATGCAATCAATAGATTATCGGAAATGGATTATCAGTATCAGCGCTATAGCCATCGTAATGATGAGGTCCAGTTTTGTTGCTCAAATAAAATGTGTATGAATTGAAGGACCGAAACATTCCTGTTCAGCTGTTTTATAACAGTTTGATGATATTTTCCTAAATGTTAGTAAGAAATACCTTTAAACGATTATGTAAATGAGGAAATCACAGATAGGATAGAAGGGCTAATTTGAAGACTATCTGTAAGTGGCGGCCTCAAACGTAGCTAGTTGCAACGGTGGCAAAGGAAGCATGGCGGTAGAGTACTGAAGTAAAATAAACAGCAAAAAATACCGATATGAGGGATGTGATATGAAAAATTTGCGCTCGGCATCCAGAGCTGCTCGAATATCTTTTTTTCCAACAATATCTTTCTGTCCGCGATTTACCACTCCGACGTAACCTGTAAGCAACACCTGGACTAAAACAAAGCAGCACTGAGTAATGCAATTCCGCCCAGACATGGACTGACCTCATGCACATCGGCTTGATTAACGCACTGTCAAGGCCCAGGGTTCAGGGTCCCGTGCCCTTTCTTCCAAAACCAAATTTCGCCAAAAGAACCATTCCTCATTGTTCAGTTTATCTCATTTGAGGATTGCTTCAAAGGAATGCAGTGCCGCTCTCCACTTTCCCCAACTCTCTCCGCTCGCCATGGACACTTCTCGACGAAACATGCCAAACTTCAGCACCACTACGGAGGGGAGCCGGTAAATGAGTTAATAATGCTGTGCCACAAGGAAGCAGATAAATGGCTGACCTCTTCGCAGTGGAAATAAACGATTCTCAAGGATATCACGAGCATCGGTGCCCTCATCCATGAGATCCAGCTTTGTTAGTACCCCGATCGTTCTCAGTCCCTGTGGATCAACCTGAAATTGCAAAAATTTCCTCTTCTTCGTGAATTATACAAGCATGAATATCCATCTAAGCTTTTAGCTATGCATGAACGAAAATCTCCATTATTGCTCAAATTTCAATAAAGCTACAAAAAAAAGTGAATAGATGTAGTCTGTCCAGGCAGACAACTGGGCAAATGCAGGAAAGGCATGCGCCTTTGAAAGAAATGACATCAAAAACATTTAATTTACAAGTGCAATTGGAAATTTTTCGAAAAAAGATTAGCTGTACGCTTCAGGAGTCACGAAAAAAATAAAAAAAAAGCATTTTCCGCTTTGGCTTGGGAGATCCATGCTACTGAAGGATAGGCGATAAGTTCCTCTCACAACAGTTTAGTTTTGAAAGCACTGCATCTCACCGTCCTTGCTCGTATCCAAGACGATTTCGAAGGATATTGCTAATCGAAGCTTCAAAATTTTCGATTTTCGGTCTGAGCCTTCTTCGGTCAGTGCTGCGATTTTGAAAGTGCAGCAGTGCTAATGCAAGAAAGCTGGGCACACTAGCAGTAAAGCGCCAATAATGAAAAATCTCACTTCGCGTGCAAGTTTCAGTGCATCCGAAGTTGCAAGGTCGCTGTTTGCCGGTGTGACAGCCAATATGAGACAGGTATCGCGTGAAATATAAGTCAGTATCATTTTTCGGATCTGATGCTCAATATCGGGCGGCTGATCGCCTACCGGTACTTTTGTTAGGCCCGGCAAATCGATAAGTGTCAAATTCAGCACTGAAACGCTTCGATTAGAAATGAACCCACTTTTACCACTTCAAACGAGCCGGCAAGTCCGTCAAGTTATAGCTATAAATCAGTGAGCAGCGATTCAACAAAATTATGCGGCTCTGGTAAAGAAATGCAATTCCTTCAAATTCCACACAGAAGAACTCCACGAACAAGATGGCCCTGATGATCCATACAGAACTGATAAATGCATTCGCAGGCCCTGCGCAACCGTGGCTTCGTACCATCTTTCCAGAGCTAGCTGCCAGATCTACTGCGCACACAGAGCATTTTTTTCTGAATACCAGAAATATCAAGAGGGCCCGGGCTTTCAGTGTGGGTATCCCCTGTTAGTGCCTCTTACGCGCCAGGCGCACCTATGCCAGGTCTTTATCAGAAATCACTGGAAATGATAACGAAGGATCAGAATGTAAAGGAAAAAATCAATCGTTCTGAATTACCGCAACACTATTTTTATCAAAAGAACGAAATACAAGCAAATAATAGGTAATTGTGACAGCTCCGAGGTTGATAAACGAAAGAACAGAAGATGAATGGGTTACCATTTGGGCTGAAAATCCGTAAATTGA